CTTTACTGGCTTCTTCCTGTTCTGGGATTCCAATGATGCAAATGTTATTTCTCTTGATGGTGCCCCACATTATTCTTAGGTTGTCTTCTTTTTCCTTCCTTTTTGATTCTGCTTTTTGCTCTAGCCGATCAATGGTGACAATTTTGTCTTCTATTTCACTGGTTCTGTGTTCCATCTCTTCAACTCTGCTCATGTGTCCCTCCATCATGTTGACAGCATCTGAAACATTGGACCTCATATTTTGGATAGTAGTTTCTTGTTTTTCCAGTGCCACTAATGCCTCATTTGTTTTCTCTACATTGTTCTGGACTGGTTTTTTTAGTTCCTCCTGGTTTTTGCTTGTAGTGTCCTGTAATTCTTCAAGTTTGTCTTTCATCCATTGAAAATATTCAATCATTGTTTTAAATTCTGTGTCAGAAAGTTCCATCAGACTTTCTGACTTCAGGAAATCCATCGATACTGTGTCATCCTTTGGGGGTGATATCTTGCTTTGTGCTTGTGTATTGTGTGGGACAGCTTGCTTTCTTCAAGACATTGATATGTTCTTGATCTGAAGATAATGCTCTAGAGATCAGCTGGGTAGCTATCCCACTTGTGTTTTTCTCTGAACATCTGACTCCAGGGAAATGTCAGTTTAGAGCCTGTGAGAGCAGCCTCTTGTAAGTAAGACAGGTCAAGGTGCTCCGGATTAGAGGCAGGTTGATTAACCAGACGTGTAGACACAGCTGTAGAGCCAAATGGGGTAGGGCATGCATGTGGTTGGGGCGATCACAAGGGCAGATCAACCACTTGGGGGACCTCACTCAGGCCTCAGTTGTCTGGTTGTGCTTACAATTGGAATCCCTATTCAAATTCCAGCTGTCCGTCTCCCACCCAGTGGTTTTCTGCCACTGGTCCCTGTCCAGTGGTGCTCAGGCACTTGCCCTTGCACAGTGGCCCCTGCCCAGGAAGGCTCCTGGGTCCAAGGGGACTCAACAAGACAAAGTCAAATTCCCACCAACCCACTCGCCTCTGGCTGGTCTACAGTGTCCACAAAAGTTCAGCCAAATTATCACTGGCCCACTCGTTCCTGGGCAGTTGGCGTGCCCCAAGAGAGCTCAGCCAAATTCCCACCAGTGGGCTCACTCTTGGGTACTCTCCCAGACCAGAGGCGTTACCCAAGAAAACCCTGTTAGGATCCTACCAGCCTTTCTTGTGGCAGATCAGTCCCACAGCAGCTTGATTGGTGGCTTCAGACGATGGATCGCTACGCAGTGTACCTTTGTTGCTGACTCAGAATCTACTGTCTACGGCTGTTGTTGTGCTGCGTGAAGGAGTCTCTAGTGGCCCTGGAGCACCGCCAGGGGGTGCAGGGTTGTGGGGAGGCCACCAGGGTGTGCCAGCAGTGTGGGGGCATGGGAAGGCGTCCCTGGACACGGTGCTGTGGCGGGGATGGGGGTGCAAGGCTTGGGCAGCGCTGGGAGGTAGGGATTGCAGTCTGTTCCCAGATATTAGGCTGACAAGTCACCAGTCCTCAGCAAATAAGACTTCAACTGCCGTCACCCTTGTGTGCCGTTGCCCCTAAGGCTATCCTTTTTATGAAACTTATTTGGAAGCAGGAGTGGCATCCACTTCCTAAATAACATGCCTCCACAAACTCTGTGAACTTTGGTAAATGTTAATAGTTGTAGAGGGGTCTTCAAGCCTTTTGTTCATAGGGTCGCTACAAGTCATGCTTGTTTCAAAGGCAATCAACAACAACATTATCACCTATGCCTTCCATGGAGCAGCTGGTAGATTTGAACTATCAATATCTAAGCATTTTAACATTTTAACCACTGTGCAGATGTGACTTAAGTTATGACACTCATTATTGTTGGAACTAACCGTAGTTGATTCTGCATTTCCGAGGCTGTAAATCACATTGGAGGAGGCTACCTATCTGTCTACCTTGGATCCACTGGTAATTCCAGCTACAGAAGAGGAGTGACCTCTGAATTAACAATGCAACCCCTCAAGGATTATACCACATGGAAGTTACACGGTGCCACTAATTCTGTCCCTACTGGTTGAAAGAATCTCAAAAAGCCCATGCAGACTGAAAGAGGGCAACATTTTGGAAGAGGATGTAGAACAAGAAATATACTGTTGTCCTTTTTGGAAAATAAAGAGATCAAATGTCTTCCTTCCATCCTTTAGCTCACTAGTTTTAAAAAAAAACAAAAACAAAACACCAGAGAGGAAACAGTTAAGTGAGGAAGTAGCTGCTCATTTAGAAACGGCTGGGAAGGGAGCTCTGGTGGCCTAGTGGCAAGAAGCTGCACTACAATCCCAGAGGCACATGGTTCAAATCCACCAGGTGCTCTGTTGGAGAAGGAGGGGCAGTTTCCTTGGATCAGATTTGATGGTACACACACACACACACACACACTAAATAAATAAAATTAAAAAAAAAACAAAGGTCTAGGAAAGGATTCTATGTAAGGTAACATTTGGGCAGTGGAACCACCGGGAGATACAGGGAGAATAAAAGGAGACATGTAAGAGTGAAGGTGTCTGAGAGACTTTCAAATAGATGAAAGAATTATGAAGAGAACGGGACTCCTTTGGGAGAGGCTGAAGGCAGCTACCCAAGGAGCCAGCACCAGGGCTGTCCAGGGGTAGAAGAGAGTCAGCAGAGGACAACTCAAGAACATCCTCTAAAACTTCAACTCAAAGACTGACAGACTGATTTCTTTATCAAATTAAATGGTCAGACTTCTCTATCTAAAGGATATGCTCTTTGATTAATAGAAAAGGCTAACATATTTCTGTGAATCACAAAATTACTTAAAATACTTTCTTGGAAGCATTTCACAAATTTAAACTTTAGGATAAAAAAATAAAGGCTTTATTTATAAAGTGCACTGCATCAATTAATTTAAAATATACTCTAAGTAATATATTATCAACAAATATAATTCTTCAGGTAGATTAGAAGGCATGAAAACACAGCTCAATCAAAGCCCTGCGGTCAGGTGTCGTCAGCATTCAATCATTACTGGGCAATCAGGCCTCTGTGATCCCTGGTCAGGAAGTCAAGCCCCGCCAGGGCCCCTCGCCAGTCCACATGCAGATCGCAAGTGCTGCTGAACGTAAATGCGATATTCAAACTCCGAGGAGCTGTGGGCTTATAAGTTAGAGATTAGCTCTGGGTTTATGACTTTCAATAACCTTAGCTGAGGTAAGCTCATCAATCTCTTTCTGGCTGAACCCAAACTCTTCCAGTATCTCTTTAGAGTGCTCTCCAATGATGGAATCCCTCTGGAGAGAAGGGGTGGCAGGGGTGCGCAGCAGCAGAGGTGCAGGGCGGGGACTCAGGTCCTGCCCCTCATCCCTGATAAAGGAGCCCCGCTCACGGGGGTGGTCATGATGGGCGACCTCCTCAAATGACAGAACAGGGGTCACGCAAGCATCAGTGCCGTCAAAGATCTGACACCACTCGGCCTTCGTCTTCGTTGCGAACACGGCAGCAAATTTCTTCTTTATTTCTGGCCAGTCAGCCATGTTCATCTGATTGGGAAGTTCAGCAGAATTGAGTCCCAGTCCTGAGGGGGGAAGACAGAGGCAGGGGGGAAAAATCAATTTTGTGAACTTTTATGCTTTGGCTAGAGTGATTATAACCAATGAAAACAAGTTCTGAGGTCACCATCTTGTCCCAGGTAAGTGTTCTATACGGTTTCTGAATCAAAGGAAGAAATCAAGGCCAGGCAGAGGCTACAGTGCAGATGTGGTGAAGGACGTAGGTCTCCAAATCAGACTTTTCACTGCCGAGATTTTATTATTACGATTCAACAAAAATTGTGTACTATTCAAGTCCAGAGTCTCCAAAAACCAATTTCTGCTTAGAATGGCTTTGAGAAAGAAAGTTTCTGATGATGTTATTTTCTGTCATACTGAATTAAAGCAACCTACTTTATGCATTCAAACTCTATAAGAAATAAAATATAAGCAATTTTACACATGGCTATGTCAGTTTTCAAGGAAGAAATCTAAAATAAACTAAAACTCAGATGACTGTTTCATAAATAATACTCATTTCTCCTTATTTTGTTATAAGCAAGAATACAGATGCCAAAAATATAAAACCCAATACCTTTTATTTAAACAACAGTAACAATTTACTGTTTCATTATGTTAATGAAATCAATGTTGCTATTAGGTGCCATTGAGTTGAGTATAACCCATAGTGACTCTTATGAATAACAGATCTGAACCCTGTCCTATCCTGTGCCATCCTCACACTTCCTAACACACAAGATACCATTGCAGCAGCCACTGCATCAATCCACCTAAGTGAGGGTATTCTTTTCCTTCACCAACCCTCTGCTTTTCCAAGCATCATATCCCTTTCCAAGGAATAGCCTCTCCTAGCAACATGCTCAAAGTATGTGAAGCAAAGCTTTATCATCGATGCCAGTAAGGTGAACTCTGGATGCACTGTCTCCAAGACATATTTCTTTGTTCTTCTGACAGTCCATGGGATTTTCAGCGTTCTTTTCCAACACCACAGCTTAAACGTATTAATTCTTCTTCTGTCATCCTTATTCACAGTCCAGCCCTCAGATGCATAGCAAGTGATGGGAAAGACCATGGCGTGAATTAGATGCACCTTAAACTGCATCTTTAAGTTAAAAGTCCTCAAACTGACATGAACATTCTTCAGTAATTTGGAGAGGACCCTGACTATAGATTTTCCCAGTGTAATATGTCTCCTGATTTTCTGACTGCTGGTACTAAGGGTGTTGTTTGTGGATCCTAGTAAGATGAAGTTGCTGACAGTTTCAATCTTTTCTCCCTCTATCATGATGCTGTCTATTGGTCCAGTAGTAAGAATTTTTGTTTTCTTGACCTTGGAATGCAATCCATATTGAAGGCTATATTTTCGATCTTCTACAAGTGTTTCAAGTCCTCCTCACTTTGAGCAAGAATTGATGTTTCATCTGTGTAATGCAGGTTCTTGATGAGTCTTCCTCCCCTCCAATCTTGATGCTACATTATTCCTCAGAGTCCGGCTTCTCAGATAATTTGCTCAACATACATATGCTGAGAGAATAAGACCCTGGCACAGTTCCTTCTTAATTTTAAACCTTGTAGTGTTCCTTTGCTCTGTTCACAAAACGGCCTCTTAGTCTAAGCACAAGATTCTCATGAGCACAAATAATGTCAATTAAGTAATTAGGTAATGAAATAAATACATAAAAACCATTTCAACTTCACTAGGGCATTTGAAAGCTCAGCATGCAGACTGAACAGACATGGGGAAAGAATACAACTCCTGATGCACCATCATTCCTGATTTTAAGTGTTCCTTATTCTGTTTGGATAGCTGCTTTTTGGTCTATGGACAGGTCTCTTACGAGCACCATTGAGTGTTCTGAGATTCTCATTCTACTCAATGTTATCCATAATTTGTTATAATGCACAGTCAAATACCTTTGCATAGTCAACAAAACACAAGCAAACACCTTTCTGGTATTGTCTCTTTCAGTCAAGATCCATTTGGTATAAGTGGTAATACCGTTTGTTCATAGCCTCTTTTGAATCCAACTTGGATTTCTGGGCAGTTCTTTGACTATGTACTGTTATAGTCATTTTAAAATAATATCCAGCAAGGTTTTGCCTACATGTGATAGTAACAACATTGCTCAATAATTCCTGTATTCTGCTGGATAACTTTCCTTGGGAATGGGAACAAATATCCATCTCTTCCCATCAGCTGGCTAACTGTCTTCCATACTTGTTGGCACAGGCTCATAAGCATATCCAGAGTTGCAACTGGTTGTCAAATATCTATGATGATATCCCATCAATTTCTAGGGTGTTATTTTTTGCCAATGCCTTCAGTGAAGCTTGATCTTCTTTAATTATCATTGGTTCTTGATCATATGCTACTTTCTGAAGTGTTCCAACATCAACCAATTCTTTTGGTACAGTGATTGTATATTCCCTCTATCGATAATTCCTATGTCAGTGACTATTTCCCCCCAGTTGCTGTTGTTATGTGCCATCAACTGTGACTCACAGTAACCTTTTGAATAATGGATCTGAACCATGTCCTACCTTGTACCATCCTCTCCATCTCTACTATACTTGAGCTCATTGTTACAGTCACTGTGCCAAACTATCTTATTAAAGGTCTTTCTCTCCTATGTGACCTTTCACCTTACCAAGCAAGATGTTCTTCTCCAAGAACTGGCCTTTCCTAGCAATATGTCCAAAGTCTATGTGATGAAGCTTCATCATAATTGCTTCCAAGGAGCACACCGGTAGCACTTTCTCCAAGAGAGACCTGTTTGTTCTTTTGGTAGTCTATGGGACATTTATTCCTCTTTTCCTATTCCACAACTTCTTTTTCTTGTTGTTGTTGTTGATATGCTGTCAAGTTGACTATGACTCATGGAGACCCAATGAACAATGACTCTGATCCTTGCTTTCTCCTGAGCCAACCTCTTCACTTCCAACACAAGTGACTCAACTGCCATAGTCCTTGTGTCAATCTACCTCATCCGGGGCCTTCCTCTATTGTGTCGACCTTCTTACCCTTACCCTTTCAAGCATGTCTTTCTCAAAAAACTGGTCCCTCCTGGTGACATTCCCAAAGTTTGTTTGACAGAGCTTCAAAATTCTTTCCTTAAAAAAAAAATTTAAAAATAAAAATAAAATAAAATCCTTGCCTCAAAGGACAAAACTGGTTTCACCCTTTCTAGGACAGAGTTCTCTTGGCAGACCATGATATGGTCAATACTCTTCTCTAGCACCACAACTCAAAGACATTGACTCATCTTCTGCCTTTCTTATTTATTGTTCAGCTCTCAGATGCCTAGCAGGCAATTGAGAAACCAAGGCCTTCAACAGATATACCTTTGTCTCTAAACTGACATTGTTCATCTTGAGCACTCTGGAGAGATATTTGACAGCACATTTTCCCAGTGCAACTTGTCTACTGATTTCCTGAATGCTGGAGCCATGAATGTTGATGGTGGATCCAAGCAAGATGAAATCATTAACCACCTTAATCCTTTCTCCATCTGTCATGATACTGTCTTTTGGCCTGGTGGTTTGTGTCTCTGCTTTCTTGATGTTGAGACACAGTCTATATTGAAGACTGCAGTCCCTGTCTGCAGCAAATCTTCTGCAGTATCAGCAAGGTTGTGTCATCTGCATAACGCAGGTTGTTGAGAGTCTTCCTTCAATTCTGATGCCACATTATTCCTCATAAAGTCAAGTCTCCTGAATGATCTATTCTGCATACAGACTGAAAAGGTTTTGAGCTTAGTCTTTATGCTAACATCATTGTTCTTCATTTGGAGAGGTCCTTGACAGATTTTCCCAGTGTACTACGTCTTCTGCCCACAGAATCAATCCTTCATTACTTGTAGCTTCAGTTTGTTCTTCAGTTTTTTCAGCTTGAGAAATGATGAGTCTGTTCTTCCCTTCTGAGGTTCTTTGTACTCCAGTTCTTTGCACATTTCGGTATAATACTTTGTCTTCTTGAGCTGCCCTTTGAAACATTCTGTTCCTCTTAATTCAGCATTCCTTTCGCTTATTTTGTCACTTTTTTTTTTATATCATCAAGTCAGATCCGACTCACAGCTGACCATCCAGCAGGTTTTCAGAGGCAGAAAAATCACACAAGAGGAAAATTCCCATCTTCCTCCCACAGAACAGCTAGTGGATCTGAATTGCATACCCTGGTGTTGGCATGTCAAAATTTAAGTAACTCTAGGGCTGTGTCTGGATCTTATAGAACTCTCATTTTCTTTAAAGTCTACTGTTTAAATGTAGGGAAGAAGAGCTGGAGACATAAATTGGTCCCAAAGTGAGTTGAAATTATCCTTTACTCTAAAAGTGAACCACGTGTGTGGAATCAGACTGCATAAATGCTGTTCTCTGAGTTAGCTTCTGTGTCGAGTACATAGAATTGTACTCTAGTATTTATTATAAGATATCCCTTAAAAAGATACAACTGCGGTTGGTTGAGTTGCTTCCTTTTCACAGACTTCCTCTTTATTGGTTTTCTGGAGCGGTAAATCATTAGGAGAGGGGATGTCTACTATTCTCCCTTGCAGTAGCTGATGGATTCAAAACAATGACTGTGGCTTAGTGGTAAGAAGCTACACTGCAATCCCAAAGGCATGCAGTTCTATCCCACCAGTTGTTCTATAGGAGGAAGATGTGCAATCTCATCCACGCAATTTATTTCCTCTGAAAACCTACTAGAGGGTCAGCCATGGGTTGATTCTGAGTCAATGGCACATAACACTATTTAATTAGGCAAGAATTTTTCCAGAACTGCCCTTCTAACTTGAGGCAACATGCCAAAAAGACCAGTAACTGTAAGAGAAGTAAACCGCAGAGGTATGGAGTGATAATAACCCTCACCACCACGCTCACTCTGTGTTCTGGGACCCCTGGCACTGAGCTGTCATAAATCGTTTATTGAGGAACAGGAACTCACAACTAGTGAAATGAGTTCTAGGAAAGAACAGGCATTAAAGGACAACATAAATATCTAACAATACTGACTATGAAATGTAAACACAGCACAGAATGCTCCCCCAAAAGGACTAGATATTTTAAAATTTTGGCCTTTAAGTTTTAAAAAGACAAACCAAGCCCACTGCTGTTGAGTCAATCCCAATTCTCCATGACTCGTCATCAGGTTTGCAAGGCTGTAAATCTACACAAGAGAAATGTGCTGCATCCTTCTCCCTTGGGACTGCTAAACAGACCAACAGTAACATTATCTGTTAATAGAAAAGATGGAAGAATGCTCTGTGAAGTAATGACGGCTATAGTTAGTAGGGTCTTTGGAAATTGGTCATATAGGAAAAGTAGTAGTAGCAGCTTATATGTTAAGCATTAGAGAAGCCGTTTATATGTTAGCATTAGGGAAACTATTTTGTTCTGACAGTCATTTTAAGAAATGTATGCTTCACTAATTTTAACAATAACATGTTTTTCTGAGCTTTACGTTCTCTAGTACATGTTAATCAAGCTTGGTTACCACTCCCTCTGCACCTGGCCAGGGGCCTGAGCACCAATGAGAAGTCAGAAACAATAACGATTCAAGAATGTGAAGAAATTTCAACTGCCAACCACAATGAACACTGTGTAACCCCCATGCCCAATTCCTGTATATAAACCTAATCTTTGCTTTCCTTCAGGGTCAGAAGAGTTTAGGCATTGGCTGACATTCTGCATGATAAAAGCTTTTCTGATCTCTCCACTTTGCCTGAGTGTTTAGAATCTTGCTATCTGCCACAATAGAAACAGTTATGAATTTCAAAAAGTCCCTTCACAGACACAAAAGAACATCCACAAGAACATGGTTTGAGTGAGCCAGGGTGTAAAGGTCACCAACCTTTGAGAAGCAGCTTATAGAACTGGGGTTCTATGGCTCCCACGGCCATAAACCCTCCATCTGCTGTTTGGTAAGTCGTGTAGAAAGGAGCTCCACCATCCAAAATGTTCTGGCCTGGAGGCTGCTCCCACAGGCCTGTTTTCAGTGTTTTCCAGAGAAAAGAGCTCAGATATGCTGTCCCTTCCACCTGTGAGAACACAGAATGAATTCAGAAAATTTAACCATTTGGTCAGACTAAATTCTATTTAATTTTAAAAAGAATTTTTAAAAATCTTTATTTCAGGCACATGCAGATTCTATCTAATAATGCAGCCTGTTGGTATTTTTAGGAAGTGAGTTATACTGAGTTTGTGGTAGCATAAGAATTGGCTGCAAACTTTTACCACTTTTGTACATACCAAAAAACTGTAACAATAAAAAGTTAAAAATAGTAAGGACCAAGTGTCTTGACTGTCCCTAGTCTGATCTGAACAGCTACTGAAAAATGCACACAGGTAGAGAACTCTAAAACAAATTAAAGGAAAATTACTTAAATTGATTCTAGTTGGACTCCTAAGAAAATGATGTTTGAATACTTAATATATCTTACCTTTAGGATCTCAGTTACAACATAAACCTAACTACAGTTGATTGGTATCTGGGTTTCTGGATTCCAGACAATGTAGTCTAGGAACATAACCTTCCAACTGAGTCCTGAAGTAAGAGGAATGGAGTCAAAATTCCATTGGCGTTTGACTCCATGGAGTCAAAACACAAAACTCAACACAAAGCTAGCTGCCCTGGCCAACTCTCTAAAGATTCCAGCATTCAGGGAGGTCAGTAGAGCACCCTCCTCTCATAGGTCACTAACAGCTGTGAACACAGAACTTCACACAGCGCTACTATCTATGAAACAAATGCAAAGGACATTTCTGGGTATATGACAACTACATTCTGGTGGTTTAGTGGTAAGGAGTTACACTACCAACCCAAAGGTCCTTGGTTCAAATTCACCAGGTACTCTGAGGAAGAAAGAGGAATAATCTTCTCCTGTGTGATTTTTATTGCCTCTGAAATCTTGCTGGAGGGTCATCAATAAAGTGGTTTTAATTCCACAGCACATAACAACATATAAGAATTTGCACTTTCAACTTGAAATCTCCTGAAGAGCTATGACATTAAGTGTCCTATGACAGGACTTTTTAATAAACTGAGTTAGGTTTCTCCACTTGTTGCTTCTCCACCCTGTATCCAGTCAATTAACTAGGTTCCTGCTTTGAAAAATTTTTAGTGTGTCCTGGACTGGTCTCTTGCCTGGAGCATTAGACCATGGTACTGCTGCCTGGAGATACTGCACCCTCTGACTGCTAGCCCCAGGTCCTGCTGCCTGGACCCCTGAACCTGTTGTCTAGAGGGCCTGTCCCCCTCCACCCCCCACCTGGATGCTCCTGCCTGACTTTTAGAAGCCCAGCACCAGCTCTCTGCCTGGAAGTCCTACCCTGCTACCTGAACACTCTGCCCTCCACCTGGAAGTCTCAGCCCACAGCATGGAGTCTCAACCCTGCTGATGGAAGTTCTGCCCCCTCCTCCTGGAGGACCTAGCCCCACTATCTGGAGGACCTGGCCCCACTACCTGCATGCTCCAGACCCAACACCTGGAGGACAACTCACTGCCATCCCTCTGAACTGCGCCAGGGACATCACTGTAACAGGTGAACTAATTTCATTTCCTCCCCTCTCTCAAAACTTGAGCTGTCTTTAGCATGGGGCACCCTGGACTGGCCTAGTTGCAGCAGTTGTCTGACAGAGGAGGCTGCTAATTTACAAGCCATATCTCTCCCAAATTGAAGCAAGTCTTCCTTTGAGTCAAAAAATCTTGAGAGAAACTCAGGCAGGGTAGCTGCTCCACCTTCCTTTGGAGCAATGACATCAGACCAAGAGCCTGCTATCTTCTCAGGCATGAAAGAAGCAGGCTACTTTACACCCTACATAAACCCAAAACAAGATGTCATTCCCAAAATGTGACACAGTATCAGTGGATTTCCTGAATCCAGAAAGTCTGATGGAACTTTCTGACATAAAATTAAAAAAAAACAATGACTGGATATTTTCAACGGGTGAAGACAAACTTGAAGAACTGCAGGACACTGCATGCAAAAATCAAGAGTAACTTAAAAACAATGCAGATAAAACAAATGAGGCATGAGAGGCTCTGGAAAAGCAAGAAACCATACTCCAAAATATGAGGACCAATGTTTCAGATGCTGTCAACATGTTGGAGGAACTTATGAACAGAGCTGAAGAGATGGGAACATAGAACCAGTCATCACTGATCTCCTAGAACAAAAAGTAGAATTAAAAAAGAAAGAAAAAGAAGAAAGCCCAAGAAAAATGTGGGATACCACCAAAAAGAATAATGTGCCCATAATCGGAATGTCAGAACAGGAAGAAGTAAAGGCACTGAGAAAGTTGTAGAAGAATCACTAGAAGAAAATTTTCCAGGAATTATGAAGAATGATGATGTTGTTGCTATGGTTAGGTACCTCTGAGTCAAGTATGCCTCATAGCGACCATATGAACAAAAGATCTGAACCTAGTCCTGTCCTGAGTCATCCTCACACTTCCTGACACACAAGAGCCCACTGCAGCAGTCACCCTGTCAGTCCACCTGGTTGGTCTTTCTCTCCTTCACCCACCCTTCTGAACATCATGT